CGGTGAGTCTGAATTGAAGTAGATTTTGGTTCACACCTGAAATTTTTAAGGTGGCTGAATTTTACATGCCAAACAAAAATACTCCATGGAAAGCAGAGTTTTTGTATAAGAAGACGACTGCATCAAAAAAGATGATCTGCTGGTGCAACTTTGATGGAAATTTCTCAACAAATCAATAAACCTGATACCAGAGAGCAGTATGTAATTATGCATTATCTCTTCCTCATAGCAAACAGTGAATATATGAAATAATAATGAGTTTAGAGAGGAATAATAAGAGGTTACTAAAAGGATACATGTTGTATGTTGGTCAGACCAGATGTACTTTGTTGCACCTCACACAGTTTACTCCATGTTGCATCATTTTGCTCAGCAGAGGGACCCTGCCGAAACCGGTAAGATTATCTGCTGGAAAAAGGCATCATTTGGCCAATGCCTATTTTCCTTCTAAAAGCGAAATAGATTTCAGCTGGGAGTGTATTCTCTGATGGAGAAAGTGTTTTAGGAGACTCCCAGCCACCGTGCCCCGGTGCTGCATCCCTCCTGTGCGTTGCATCTCACTGCCTCTCAGCAGCGGTCCCGTGGTTGTTGTAAGCCGGACTAGAGGAACTGCCTCTTCAAAATACAAGGCCAGGGTTTTGGGCTTTTGTTTTAAAAAAAAAACTTGATTCATGTCACTGCTCTGAGTTTAGGGAGAGCCGTACAAGCAATAAAATTGGCAGGCTGAGGAGGACGACGGTGGTGATAGGCAGAGTCTTCTTCAGTCAGGCTTGGTGCTGGGGAAAGCATGGGGTGCAACTTCACACTTTACAGCTGCAGCACAATACATCATTCTTTGACTGTCATACTTCTTACAATTTTTAACTGTGTGAGGCTGCTCAGCGGCCAAATAGTCAGATAAAGTTATAATTCCTTTTTCTTTGTCCCAGAAAAGCAGCAGTAGCTTATACGTGTAGTGTTGGGAACGCTGCACCTCCTAATCCAGGTGCTGGTAAGGGCCATTGCAGCGTTTCAGCAGGCCTGTCTGAGGAAAAAGGAGAGCTGTGGGTTTGATTTGCAGCTTTTATTTCTCTTCTCACGCTCAAGTTCTAGTCTAATTATTGCTAGAAGAGCTTGAGAAATCTTGTTGCCTTGTCAAACACCACAGGGCTTAAACATCACCTCAGTGAACCCCTGGGAGAGAATGAACCAAACAGCTTGGTGACTCTGATCTTCCGTCTCACAAAAGGCAGCTCGGAAGCGAAGGGCCAGTTCAGGATGAGTAAACACGCCTTTGCTTGAACTTTCTGGCCTCGCATCAGGTTGCCCCTCCTCGCGCTGCGCACTGCCCGCTGAACTGCAGAGTTGAAGCTGAAAAAATATTGCAGGGGGCTGAGCATGCAGTTTGGCTGCAGGTATCCCCACCCGTCCCAGGCACAGCCGGCTTGTTGATGGAGAACTGTTCAGCCCCCACAGCCACGGTCGTACTCGGCTGCTGAGTAAATCGCGATTAACTGTAATGAGATCTAGACCCCCAGCTGAAATCAAGGCGCTTGTATGTAAATGCTGGCAGTCTGGACCTAAATCCTGTGGCTCGTGCTTTATATCAGTATAAAAGCTTGTATTTGAAATGTCAGTTTCACTTTGAAGTTTTCTAAAGCTTGTGAAAGAAAATTCTTGTAGTAGCTTAAAACCAGAACGCTCAGAAAATGTAAAATACTATCGTAAGAGGCATTGGTTTTATGCTCAGCTAAGACAAGCGTCTCGGGTTTTTCCCGTGAGAAGTTTTATGTTGGAGGGTGTCTCCCTGCCTGCTGAGCTGTTCTTCCCCTTCGGCAAATCTCTTGTCTACGCCTCTTACTTCAGGCATTTCAGTATCACTGCTGACATGATGGAACATTCCTGCTTACACTCGTGCTCTGGAGCTTCTATCTGTTTCAAAAATGGTGCCATTTTCCTGCTTTAATTGTGAGGACAGGTACTGCATAGGTCCGGTCTGCTCTGTGGTCTGCCCAGTAAGACTGGACCCGAGATCAGGTCATTTTATGTGGGAGCTCTGCATTTTGCCCGTGGCCAGGGCAGGGGAGGTTTATACTGCTGAACTAGTGATGGGAAAGTTGTCTTCCATCATCACTTTCTTGAGCCATCAAACGCCCCTAAACGAGTACTGTGCTGCAGCCAGGCTTTACGGCCGCTCTACTGCAGTGTGGGAAGGTTCATTTCTGTGTTATAAATTACATTTGAGCCTTGGAAGGTTTGAGTTGTAACCTAGATTTAAGTCGTTTCAGTTACTTAACCCTTTTCTGATACTATTTTTGATGTGAAGGAAAAAACCCTTTGCTGAATTGTTTCACTGGAAAGGCAACACTGGCTTTAATAAAGCATATCTGTAAGAAATTTTGCTCTTTCTGCTCTGCACCTCATGGTTTGTAGTGAAATACAGAGTTTGGCCCATTAGCTTCATAAAAAGCTGTGCTTTCAGTAAACTTTAGTACTAGATTGACAGCACTGTTGGCACACATTCTGACAATTCGTGCTTGTAAAGTGGAAGGACAAGGCAGTTTTATCATTTCAGGAGGCAATGCCTGTGGCCTTTCAAAAACTGATGCGTGGTATTGGTGTAGCTTCTTCTCAGTTTATATCTATAAAGGTGCTTTTTAGTGTATGTGCTAAGAGAAGTGAGAAATTACTGTTTGACAGAAAGAAGTACTGTATAAAAAAGGAACAACAAGAAAATCTCTGTGCAGTCCTTCCTTTTGACTCTGTTACAATCTGCAATTGGGTTTCATGTTTATCTCTGCATTACTGCCAGTTTCTGATACACGTATACCTTTCTATAGATAAATATATGTTCTTTTATTATAGCAATTGAAATATAAAGCTAGTTTTATAAACCTAACCACCATCCAACACTGCCTAATGAATATTAAGACCTTGAGGCTTTGGTTGTATGTGTGGTTTCTGCAAACCTTATCCTGCCAGCTGCTCTGAATCCAGCACCGTGAGCACGTACCGCAGTGTTAAACGCGATGCAGCACACCCCAGCAAAACAGCAGGCATGTGGGGAATCACAGGAGAGCTCTTGTAATACCAATTCGCACAGTTCGTCTTGCAGAAGCTTGTTCAGGTGTCCACACTCCTCTTTTAATCAAAAGAAGCTGAGCAAGACAAACTACAGTTTTCATTTTCTGTGCCAGAGAAGGTCGCCAAGTGTGGGAGGAAGCAGCAAAACACGACAAGCTCTGGAAAACTGGAGGCTGAAGCAAGGAAAAGAGTCTGGCAGAGGTTTTAATTAGGGAGCTAGGGCTTGCCAGAGGAATGCATTGGCCTTTTTTATAATGTCCATCTGTCACTCAGGTACTGTTCATGAAAAGTAAAATGTTATGTGCCTCACTGAAGGAAGCTCAGTTTGTATGTCTGCAAGTTTCAGATACAATTGCAAGACCCCAGTTTGCAAGGCTTAGTCTTGAATTCTTAGTCTTGCATAATATTATCTGTGTCTGTGGCAGTCTGTATGCTTCTCTATGCTTGATGTAGGTAGTACTGCAAATAACAAGAAAATACCACTGTGATTCATTCAACACTTGACATACCTCCATGCTTACGAAATTCTAGTCATAGGTAAGGTCCTTAGAAAGTCATATTGGCCCTGGGAAGCAATACTTTTCACTTGATATCTTTACTCTGGCTGCTGATTGCATTTTCAGTGTTATACAAAACACGCCTTTATTCAACGTGAAATATACCTTATTTTTTATTTGCACAGTATTTTCACTCATTCGTTAGGGCCAGCTTTTTTAATGACAGGTGAGTAAGCTAATGCACATTGCCTTCATTTTCATTCTCAGTAAAGATATGCAAAGAAATTGTTTCCTTAGATTGCAATTTTTGGTTTAGTCTTTTTTAAAAAAAAAAACAAAACAAAAACAAAAACATTTTTCAAGTCTTGTAGCCAAAATGTGTAGTTCAGTTTTTGCAGCAGCGAAGGAGTTGTGCTGTACAGTTTCTAGCCTGAACTGGTGATGATGTGTAGCCACGCCATCCCAGCACACGCTGCAAGAAACACTGTTAGCAACATCAGAGTTCCCTGTTTTCCTAGGGGAACCTTGCAGCCTGGTTTAGGATGGGCCTTTGAAGAAGGACAACCATTCTCTGTATGAGCACGAGAGCTGCCATTGTGCTCATCTGTTTCACTGAAGCACCAAAAGAAACTTTCCTGCTGCTTGTGTCTGGGTGTGGCTATTTTAATAGTGCAAAGCTGTTTGCAAATATACCTCAGGGATAAGGACAGTGAAAATACTCTGCAGGAGACTTTGAGGTTTTAAAAAGTACTTTGTATGACCGTTCCAGATAGAGAGCCGAGCGATTTATGTTTGGAGTCTATGAAGCAGCTGAAGTGAGCAAAGAGTATATGCACTCTTTGCATATTTTCAGTTTTCAGATTCAGTTTTTTTCCCTGCCCATGGATATTGCAAGCAACTGTTCTGGCAGCAGGATGCGGGCAGGTGGCCAGGGTGTCAAGGACAAGCTTTCCCTTACGGTGATGAGGAGCTGAGGTCTTGCAGACACAGTCCTTCTTGCATTCTGGGAAGGATGTTTTGCTCACTGCCAGATGTCTTTTGGAGGCATCGGCTACTGTTTCTGACTAAGGATCTCACAGTTTGGCTTTCTCTGATTGAATGATCCTGTCCATCTCTGGCATTAGGGTGCTGGAAGAGGCGTCACCAGACACCTTAGTGGGGAAGTTAAGTTATGGAGTCTGCTCCCGAAGTGGATGCTAATGATAGACCTGTTGCTAGAGGTCATCTTACTCAGGATTTCGCTGAGCATCCCATAAGCTGATCTCTGAAATTCTGGCAGGTGTCACAGCTATGCTATCATAGTCATGTGCTGGTCAAGAGGAAGGGTTGAAAGTCTGGTCCATTGTGATTGACTGCTGTTATGTCTGGCAGATGTTACTTGTTCCATTAAAAAGAAAGTGTTTTTTTTGTTGTTTTGTTTTGTTTTTCCCTCCCTCTTAGGTGGAACGTATTGGGTATTCAAGGAGCCTTACTTAGCCTCTTTGTGGAGCCAATTTACTTCTCTAGCATCATCTTGGGGAGTTTATATCATGGGGATCATCTATCCAGAGCCGTATACCAGAGGATAGCAGAGATAGAAGATCTACCACCTCTTTATACACTCAACAGACCTTTACTTAGTGGCAAGTATCTAATGGAGAAGGCCGTGCCGGTAACTAAGTCTGTTCCAGTAGCAATGTGATTTTGCAGTTCTCAAAACCTTGCAAATTATGTGCTGTGAGTAAACTGCTTTCTGGTTACAACAGAGAAGTTATGGTCTAAACCTGATATAGGTACTTAGTGAGAATTACCATAGCAAGGGCCGTTCGTGAGTTAAAAGGTGGAAAGAACTGGGATATAAACCTTTTGGATGCGGTTTCACATAATTGCTGTCTGGACATGCCCTAGCAATATGTGAGGCAAGTTGAATGCCCCAGCTTAGTGAAACCTCTTCCCACCCATGAAATAGCGTGTTAGCTCTCACTGTCACTTCTCTTGCCCTTGCAGATATTTGTTGAACAGCCACGTCATTAATCAGTATGCCAAGATAGACACATTTGGTTCACAATTTCTAGATCAATAACCAACTAAAAATGGATGGAGAGAACATCTCAGCTGCCGTTGGTTGTATTTTCTTTTTATCATCAATCTCTGTTGGATGCAGCCTTAGCTTTAATTAGCATGGCACCCAACTTGCTTGCATGACCCAATGATCATTTTCATTGCCACTTTGTAGGTTAATGCAGAAATGCTGCATTCAGAGCCCAGTGGCACGTTCTGTGGGAATATTTTTAATGGAGTATTAAAGATATCTGACAGACAGCAGCAATATGGCAAGCCCCAGCTGGAGTAGTTAGTGGTTATCTTTTGCAGCTTTTATGTACTGTTCTTTGGCTTTGCGCTGATCCCAGGCTCTGGTGGGGCTAAGAGGAATGGCAGTATTTGAATTAACGGGTCATAACTTCTAATTGAGCCCTGACTTTCAAAGAAAAGTTCTGAAGTGTCTTAAATTCTAAAACTGTTAGTTACAGTAATGCTGTGAAAGCTTTAAAACTGAAATCTCTTATCCTCCCTCTTGTTGTGTGCATTGCTTTGTTCTGTAGAGCTTGGCTTTTGGCATGTGTCTGTTTATTTTCAAGGGGGGAAAAAAGCTCAGTATTTTAAAGCATGCTTGAAGTTTGACATGAATTTTTAAAATAGATTTAGGGAGGGAGTAGAGAAAAGAGCATGTTGAACAACCAGCATTTCTTTAGATAAGAAAGGTAATTAATAAGGATTCTCTGAACTAGGACGTATTAAAATGTTAAGTAATGTATTTGTCCTTATATTAGCAAGTAAGTAACAGTTACAACGCTCACAGTATCAAATATTAAACCGTTGCATGGCCAGAGTAGCTGATGTATGGACTGTTCCTTCCTGTTTTTTAGGAATTTTTATCAGTTCTTCAAGACGGCAGGTTTGGGGTGGCGTGGGAGGAGTTTTTGTTACCCTTTTCACAACACACAATAGTACCTTGTCTTCTTAAAAATCATCTTTCTTCAATACTGATACCATCTATTTGCCATGAAATAGCACCATCTGTTTAAACAGTTCAGCTGGGACTCACTGAGCAGCAGAAAGAGTTCAGAAATGTTCTCAGCTGTTGAGTTTTCATGAAACTACATGTCTCGAAATTGTACAGGAAGCTGGTTTGGGAGGTTGGGTGGAGACTTGTGTTGATGGATTTTCTTCTGATTCAGTCTTGAAAGCTAGTCTTCTGAGCCATGCTGCTGGATTCAGCTGGGGTGTTTGTGTAGCTACCCCTCTGCTCTTCGATTCACACATTTTACAGTGTATTCTTACCTGGAATCAGCACTGCAGAGGTACCTGTCCCCAATTCTGTGTTTCTCCTGGTACCGCACACGCAACTGTGTGATGGTGACTCATTTCTACCAGAGGATGAACCAAAAGAGAAGTAGCTGTCTTTCCTTCTGTCCCACCCGTTTAGCTGAGAAAGTACTGTAAAAACTGGGTTTTTCTGGTCTCATAAAACATGTTTTATGTCTGGAGAGACAATTGCATTAAGTCAGACTGAGTTATTGTTACCTCCTGCTAAAAATTTTCTTTTCATCATCTTTCTTTCCTCATAGGAGATTTTCTACTTACACTTCCTTTTCCCAGCAGTTAAACGTGGGCATGCATATCAGAGTAGCTGGTTTTCATCTAGGGGGTGTGGGAAACCTGTATGTTGGTAAAAATCTCCCTCCTCACGCTGACTCTTGGAAGCCTTTTGGTTGCAGGACCCAGCCTTTTGGGATGCCTTTAGCACGCTGCAGCACTGAGGGCACAGGAGCTCTCTCTGAGAATTGGCCGGCTCACTTGAAGAGAAGACAGGTGCCAATCTTGTGAATTTCTAGAATAATCTGAAAAGGTATCAATTTCTCAATCAAATAGAATGAGGATGATTGAGTGCATAAATCAGCGAATAGCAAAGGGCCAGTCTGCAGGGTGATCTGCAGAGACTCTGAAGCCATTGTGGGAGGTGGGCATGAAGGAGTTAACCCGGGGTGGAAGTAGAGTGGCAGAGCTCAGCAATCAGAGAATCAGCCCTTGAAAATCCTTGGGAGCAGAAGTCATTAAATGCAAGAGGGCACATACAGACAAAGTTTCCCCTGTTTTGATGTCCAGCCAAAGTTTTCCCCGTTTTAATGTCCAGCCAGTTGATAGTTTCTTATGCTTTAGTTTCCCTAGAGCTTCCTGTCTTTTACCGAAGTATTGTCAGAAATTATGCTGGTGGTGGTTTTGACCTGTTCCTCGGGGTGCTGCTGGCAGGTATTTTCTAGTTTGGTTCTTGGCTGAACCATCCCAGAGCAGTATCACATCTGCTGTCACCAGTGTAAGAACTGTCATAGGTGAGAGCAAGATGTTAAGGTGCGATCCATCCGGCCCGGTCTTCTTTTCCACAGGTAGTTAGGCAGTGAAAAGCAAAAGGAAACAGTAAGCCTCTGCAGATACTTCCTGAGAATCACAGCAGTAATCTGCGGATCAGGGACACCCCAAGTCAGGTACTGAGAATCTTTGTGTTTACAAATCCTTAGCGAATCTGTCATTCGTGAACTCCCGGTTTTGCTTTTTGAACTGGCTTAAACTTTTTACCATCTGCAGCCTCCTTTAGTAAGGAAGGCTGTAGGACGTGTAAAGATTTGTGCAATGGAATTTTCTTTCTGCTAATTTAATTAGCAGTTCCTCAGTGCTCTGTATGATACAGGCTATAAGCAGTTGTCTTGGCACTTTTGTCACGCACTCAGTTTTCTGTATCTCTGCGATATTCTTACGTAAGTCCTATTTTTTGCAAGTTGAAAAGTCTTAGTCTGTGTTGTTGTTTCTTGCATGGAGAACCCTTCCATGTGAGGATCATCCCTTCCATTTTACAATCATGTTTTTGAGCTAGTGAGACCAGAGCGGCACCTGATGCTCAAAATAAAGAAGCAGTGCTTATTTATGTAGTGGCATCATGGTGCTCTGTTCAGTTCCACGATTCTTCAGTAATAATTCCTAACATTCACTTTGCTTTCTTTGATTACTGTTGATCATTGACCTGCCCTTTTGGTAGAACTGAATATTAGAAACTAAAATCTCATTCCTGAATGCTAACGTCCAGCTCCAAGTCCAGCACTCCTTATGCAAAATTGCTTTGCTTTTTCTTCATATGTATTACCTAATATTTATCTGTGAGCAATTTCATCTGCCTTTTTAATTGCCCAGTCGCCCAATGTTGTGAGTTTTTTTTTCTGCTACTCTTTGCAATTGCTTCTCTTATTTATCTTCTTAAATAATTTAGTATCATCACCGACCTCATTCACCTCCTTTTTTCCCAACACACTTACCAGGTCTGCACAGAGCTTGAGGGTCTCCATCTGTGCTGGCTCTTCCCAGGGAGACCATCTTCATCCAGGTGTCAATTAAGTCTGGTTTTAAGGTACACGTCAAACAGACAGGCCTTCTCCTTGCTGGTTTCTCTAAGAATTTGCATCACACTGTCCACCTCCAGTCTTCAGTTACTAAAGGCAGTATTTTAAAGGCAGTGGAGTCGTTCCCAATATTGCTGTATCTACATCTGTGCCTAGCAGTGCAGTGTTGTAGTTCCTGCAGCCTTCCTGGTGCAGATGTCATGTTTATTGACTGGTAGTTCCCCGGCACACCTCTGAACTCCTTCAGAATTGGAGTCCCATTGGCCACCTTTCGTCCTGGAGAACTTGTGTGGTTTGTGAGGGGAGGTTATGTACCATGACTGCTGTTCCTTCTGCCTCGTCTTTAGTTTCCTTGAACACGGTTGAATATTGTCTGGGTGCCGTAACCGGTGTTTGCTTGCTTCATATGCATACCCAAGAACTATTTTTACGGGCACCTCAATTTGAGATGGCTCCTCTGGCACGTTGCCTGTGAAGAGGGGCTCCGGCCTGGGAACCCACCCACCCTTTTTGCAGAACATTCTTTCCGTTTTTCTACATAAGAAGACTTCAACCACCACAGCAAGAGTGGTTATTATAAATGTTCATGCCTCAGCACTCCTCTGACTGCTGTCTACATTTGCATTTTATTTTTTTAACAAAAATAAATCCTTTTGCATTTTATTTTTTTTAACAAAAATAAATCCTTCAGCAGAACCTTCGGTGATTTTTTGACTGTTTCCTTGGTACCTTATCCTCCCATTCCCATTGGTGTTTTTCAGCTATCTCCTTTTTAATGAAGCTTTTTTGAGCTCTGTCCTCAAAAGAACTGTCAAGCTTTATTATTTATATAAGCACTGGCGCAAAGAGCTGTGACCTTTGCTTTTGCTTATTGCACCCCATTATAATAACATTCAACAATAAGTTCTGAGTGATGTTCCCTAAATAGCTTAGTTATATCAGTTTTCAAAGGAGAATAAAATATTTTACTTTCTATCCTAGCTTTCTCTCCCATTATTAGTTTCAGCTTATTGTGCTATGTTCACATCTAGATTTTGAGGGGTAAGATACAATCCACCTAAAGTGCTATCAGATGCTTTGCTTTTGAGATGGCCTTTATTCCTTGTCCATGTTACCCACAGTGCACTTTCAGGCCATCTCTCCAGGGTTCGTGCAGATAATTAAGCAGCTGAACAGGGTGTTGTTATTTAAGTCTGTTTGAAATTCTGTTTTTTTTTTCGTAATGTATTTAATTCATCAAAATAATCTAAGGAATGCAATTGTATAATCGCCATGGAAATGTGATGCGTACTGGACGTTCAGCTTCCTCATCTTTACTTGATTTGCTTGCGTGGGTGCTCGTGATGTCACAGGTGTTTGAGTAGCTGAGAGGGCAGGAGCAATTGCTGTGTTGTAGTACTCAGTGAAGGGGATCTGATCCCTGATCTGATCCCTGATCTGATACACTTGTTCAGCAGTGTATGGAACGAAAGCAAAGGTAATAGTATAGATATAATTAAAGGAAAAATATGACTGACCTGCCTCTCATGTGGTAGCTGTTTCTTAGCCCTCTTGCTTCAGTGGTTTTGGTAAAACCAATTTTTGATTAAGAGGTACGTCAGCATGGCTCTGTTTCACATAAGCTTCACCCAAAAAGCCTGAATTTATACGCTTTGGGAGACTCAGTTGGGATTCGTTTTGTGTGCACCCACAATTTACAATTCATTAGGTGTTTAGGTGGAGTCTCTTGTTGGGTGACACATGGAGCAGCAGCGTTTGCACTTCGGTGGCAGAAGCCGAGTTGCGTTGTGCGTGATCAGCTCTGTGATGCACATGTTCATTGCCAGCGGCTCGGAAGGACCGCAGGAGTTGTCTGGAGGACTTTCTGGCTTTCATCTTGTGTTAAAGCCCTGTTCTTGCTGGATCTTCCTCGAGTATTGCTTGCATGATATTCTTGATGGCACCTGCTCATCAGGGACCACTGGCTGCCCTCCTGGGGTGGTCAGTGTGCGGGTCCCACACCGGTTTACAGATCGCTGGGTGTAGATCCGTGGCATCCTGCTATATTTCAGCTCCTGGATGCATCTCTCCTAAAAGAAAACAGAGAAGAGCCCTTCAAAAAACTGGAGTTCCAATTCTCAATTTTTTCAGCTTATATTCTAAGCAAATGGGAACGATAGAGTTGGTTACTTTTTATTATTTACTTATTCACTTAATTACTGGTTGTCTGTCATAGTGACCAGGCTGACATAAATGAAGCATCAAAATACAGCAGCCTCGGGAAGTTCAATATGATTGATATTTCAAAATGTTTGTTTATTTATTAAAACGAGGAATTGATTATAGTAAGCGAACTGAATTTCGCTGTGTCCTTCAGACCTCATCGGTCTCGGTGCTGGGCCCAGAGGTGCTGTGAGACCCGGGCCAAGCGAGCCAGTCCTGCACTCGGGCGCAGGGTTGCCTTAACTGTGTTTATTAGATTGTGTTCCACATATCAGCGAGAAGTATATCCCGCCGCAACGCTTATGTTCGATTTACACAAATTTGCTAGATTTTACAAAGTGCAGGACGTAGCGTAACCTCGGAGTAGATTTGAAATAGGTTCTCAGTGAGAGCTGCCTTAAGGTAAAAATGGGATCTTTACTGATCAGAAAGAAAGAATCACCCCGTTGTCTCTCGGTGAGACGACTGAGACATCTCAAAGGAAGCAGCCAGCCCGCCTCGCTTCACGCTTGGGGTAGACTTCTGGTGGCTTTGCTTTTCCGTCAGCAGAGATGAAGCCGTGTTTGAGGGGTGTCGCTTAATTTAGCACCTGAGCAAAATGATCCGTCTCCTCTCTCGAGCCCTGCAGTTCCCCGTTTCTGGGCATGGTAAGGAGCAGCGGGCGTGGGAAGCGGGGTTGGCCGCTGAAGCACAGCTGGATTTATGCTGAAAGACTCAAGTGTCTGCCGGTTTGGGCTTTTTCTGCAGAAGACGCTGAGGATGGGGGGCTCATTTTGTCCAACTCGGGTGCCCACAGTGTCAGTGCCGCTGCCGTCACCGTGGCCCCGCGCAGCCCGTAAGAAGGATGAAATAGATTTGCTGGCTTTTGATGAAACACGCTCGCCAGCTACTGAAGTGTAGGCACCATCACGCCTTGGTTTGCAAGGCATCCTACCATCTCGTTCCACTGCTCTGACCCAACTCTGTTTTGATGGGGGAGAGTGAGAAAAATACATTGTAGGCACCTCTAAACAAGCGCGACCTCTCCGAGTAAAACTGCGGTCTAAAGTTGTTAGCTGAATCGTCAGTGTGTGCGGAAGCATGACCAGGGTTCACAGTTTCACACCCCTTTTGAAATGAGATAAGCACCGTGCACCTAAATTTTTACAACTGCAGAGTGAAAGGGAGTCAGTTGGAGAGCTACAGCTATCAAAACCTCACAGTATCTACTCTTTGCTGCGCTTGTCTCGTCCCGCTACCGAGTGGGCGCTAAGAGCAGCGGTTTCTTGTGCAGGATCAGAGCAGCTTTCTTTTCTGCTTTGTAATCATTTGCGGGTTAATAATTAGTTTGTTGGTTTGCCCTGTAGGCAAGGGCAGATCCCCCTGAGGTGACGTGGCAGGGCGCTCATGTTGCTGTCCCCGTGGACCCTCGCCACAGAGCTCCCCGCCGTCCCCCCTGCTGAGGAGGCGGGCGTCCAGCAGCTCCAGCAACGCGCGCTCGCCTTGCTAGACAGGCCAGAAGGAGAGAGCACTTTAGCCAGGAGGAGAATGGGATGTGGGCATGGTGATATCTCCCTGAGTTGGTGAAAAATCTGCAGGAGATTATCCTCGGAATAAAAGATCCGCTTGTAAGACAGCAGTCTTAGCTTAGCGACGTGCTAAGCAGTGGCTCTGCTGTTATCGCTTACTCGCCAGCAAAAACAAAAATCAAGAGTCGGTATGTACTGTTGTCATTAAACATGGCTTTTCTTTCAGGTATTAGCAATGCAGAAGCCCGGCAGCCAGGGAAAGCACCAAACTTCAGCGTGAACTGGACAGTGGGAGACACTGGTCTGGAAGTTATTAACGCCACAACTGGCAAGGATGAAATGGGTCGTGCGTCTCGCCTTTGTAAGCATGCTTTTTACAGCCGCTGGATGCGTATTCATGCAAAGGTATATCTTCCAGAGTGCTAGATTTTCCACTTCTTAATTCTTCGTGAAATATCTGTGCGTGCTGCTTGCTGTATTCAGGAGCCACTTTCTGAGCCTGTTTGGAGCTGAGCCTGATGTTAGCTACTGTTCCATGCAGTAATGGAAAAGAACAGTGCATTTGTTCAGCTTATTCTTTAATTTGATGGTGTCTGGCCCAAGATCCGTGCAAGGGTCTAATAATCCTTGGTTTATAGCTAAGCAAACAAAGGGTGCTGTCTCCTTTGAGCACGCCTTCTCATTTTAATTTATTTGGAAGGATAATCCCAGCTTCACTGCTGTCGAACCTACTGAGGTTTCGCTCTGTCCTCTCTGAGAAAGAAAAGCTACAGGGAAGTATCTGTCAGTGGCTTTTCAACATCTGGATCTCTTCCACTGAAGGAAGTTGATAATCCAGGGGAAGCAAAGGGCAGGCCAGCCGAGGTGAGACGGGTGCCGGGGGTGCCCGTGCCGTGCCGTGCCGTGCCGTGCCGTGCCGCGGTGCCGCAGCAGGGCTTGCTTCGCCGGAGACCCACGTGGCAGGTGGGTGCAGGTGGCTGGCAGGAGCCGTGCTGTGTCCTCGCCCGCCTTTGCCCCGACATTTGCTTTGGCCCTTCAGCACTTGGTTTTAATGACTCGGTCACTCTCAAACCGCTTGGCCTAACGGTTTCTCGTCTCTCTTCTTTTCCCGTCTTCAATCCACACAGCTTTCCTCCAGCTTGCGCTCAAAGATCCTCAAGCCTAACCTGTACCACGAAACCAAGCAAGGAGCCACTGAGTATCAAACTGCCAAAGAGTGTTTGTTTAAAGCATTCCTGAAGGCAGGACTTGGAGCCTGGGTGGAGAAGCCCATAGAACAGGATCAGTTTTCTCTCACGGCCTAATTCACAGACTGCACATCACTTGGGAAAGGGGGGTTGTTCTGGAAATTCCTGGTGTCCAGCATTACTTTCTGGCATCTCCACAGCCATCAAAACATCTTTTTACTGCTTGGAGTTGCGTTTCTCCCTTTGGGTTTTTTTTTTTTGAAACTTCATAGTAACTGTTTCTGTTTTGCCTAAGTATTGAAAATCAATGATGATCTGACACCTAATTGTATATTTTGTTATGGGAAAGTAATTTCTGGTGTATTTCTAGAAATACTTTTACTGTAGAAAACTTGCAGTAAGGCTGTCCTTACAGTATACAATGACTCATTTTTTCTGGGTTAAAATAATTTCTTTTTTTAATTCAGTGTCATCAAGTGCATGAAGAAATGAAAGTTTCTCTAGGTTTTACATCACACTTTTAGGAAGTAGCTTGATTTTTTTTAAAAGAAAATAGGTGACAAAGCTGATTCTACTCCTCTGTTAACTTGTTTTTGAACTGCAGATATTTCTAGACCACAGAGCCAGAATGGAGTCTGGACAGCTAGTCTTTCCCCACTTCCTTGCTCTTTAAAACCAGCTGCTGAAAATTTCATGTCTTTGATGTATGTATTTATTAGTCTGTGACCCAGTTTTTAACATGCAGCTTTTTATTCTGTTTTTAAAAATACATTTACCTCCCATTTATACACATTGTGAAGTCTTCATTTTTTTTACCATTGTAAACTGGAAACAGCAAAATAATTATTTGTAAGTTAAGAAGTTTAGTCTATAATGTGCAGAAACCTGTTTAGAAGTAGGTGATTTGTATATCCCAGGAACTCGTCAGAATGCAATCGTAGCTGTAACAGTACTATGACAACTTCAAAAAAAAAAAAAAAAAAAAATTGCTCATTTTAAGGGCACTATGCCTGAATTGCCAAAACCAGCCACTTGCTGGGTATTAATTGCTCTGCTCTCAGAAACGAAAAGCTCTTGTACGGACAAAAAGTTGTTAAAACTTCCTTCCTGCGAGTTATATCTGCTTTCACTCCAGTGATTGTGTCTCTGAGATTTCATTGCCTTTTGGCTTTACACGTACGATGGTCTTCATGAAGCTAATTAGGTAAGTGGCTCTCAAACGTGCTTTCATCTGCTTTGACAGTTACTTAGAAAGGTCGTTTTCCTGAAGGTGTAGACACTTCTACTTTGTGTAAAAATGCAAGACAGAAGGGAAATGCTGCGAGATCGGTTCGATCGGCTGCTGTGCGGCGGGCGCTTTTCGAAACACTTTGTAAGCGCGTGATGTTTAGGGACAGATGAGGCGATGTCTGGCCTCGCCTCTCTGCTCACGCGGCCTCGTGCCCGGCCGGGTGTCACCTCTGCTTTCCGAGGAGCAGCTCCGCGCTCCCTTCGCGAGCGGTGAAGGTGACGTCTCGCGCCGTGGGATTTCACCCGGCGAAACCAAGCGGCCGCGCCACCGCTCCGGCGGCTGGTTCCCGTCCCTCCGCTCCACCGCCCCGCCCCGCGCGTCAGCGGGCTGGTCCCTGCTTTGGGGTCAAGCCACGGGTTACTTTTAGGCCCACGTTGGGTCAGAGATCCGGGTTGGAATTGTGCCGGCGCACCTGTGGAGGGAGCGGAGTGGGGCGAGGACCCCTGCAGCCAGCCTCCCGGGCAGCGCCCGCGCGTCGGGAAAGCTGTAACCGGCGTGACCGTGCCCCGGCCCCGGCGCCCCCGGCGGGGGGCTCGCAGACGCTCGAGGCGTTGGAAACTCGGCTGCGAAACCGCCCCTGGCCAACCGTGGACGCCAGGGAGATGCGCTGCTTCGTCACCGCTCAAGTAGGAGCCCGTTTTCAACTTCAAAAAACGAGCCAGCCTAATAAACCCCTCGTGCCGAAGCCTCCGGGTTAGTGTCTCGGCAGCGGTGCGCCGAGGGCGCGTGCTCGGCGCTGCGGCGGCACGGCGGGCGAGCCTCTGGCCTGCTGATCCCCTCGACAATAATCCCATGCTCCCAGACGCCGGGGGAACAGGTGTTGCAAGCTGCGATAGACGGGCTGCGTAAATTCAGCTCCGCTGGTGACTTCAGCCGCCCCGTCCGCTTCCCATTAAAACCAAAAGTGCCCCCGTGGCCCCTGCAAGGCTTTTGCGGTCGTCACCCAGCCGAGACTTAGGCTGGCCTACTGTAAAAGGAATTTAATTGTATGTGGTCGGGTCTTGCGAGCACTCGGGCGTCTGCCTTTGAGGTCAGCCTTGTCTCGTTCACGTTGCAGAAGTCCTGTTGTGGCTGTAGGTGAGGACGTGCGTCGGTTTCTGCAGGACCGAGGGAAAGCTGGTCGCACTGTGTGTGATTTCTTGAGGTCGTTACTGCCCTTAGATGAAATACCCGGGTTTTTTAGGGGCTCAGTCTATTGATAAATGAAGTCTGTTGATAATTTCCGGCGAATTATTTTTACCCACCTTTCTGAAGTGCTCATTCAAAAGTCAGAGTCTCTCTGGGTTTTTTCGATGATTAGGAAAGTATTAGCTCAAACTATTTTTTTTTTTTTTAAGAAGTCACAAATATGAGCAATATATTTAATTATTATTATAGACATAGTTTTTTAAGCTGTTCAAGTGAACGATCGAACTGTAAAGGAAATGTGTTCCATGCCAAAACCTTCTGACGAAGGAATGGTGTCAGGTTATTTATGAGGAGTGAGTTCTCTTGTTTCTAGTTCCAGGATTTTGAAAAAGCAAGAAGTTTTCCAGGGTTGTATGCAATCCATATCCGCGTTCTGGGAGTCAGTAAAACACCGCTTGGCTTCCTTCACTGGCTTGTTCCTTTTTGTGCAGTTGATCTGGAGAAGGAAGGCGGGATTGCTGATGCCGCCGTGCAGCTGGTCGCTCCCGCGTCCCTCGCAAATGACCGTCACCGAGCCGGGATGGACAGCGATGGGCGGCGTTCCGAGCAACGGCAGGGGATAAGACACCTCGTGCCGGGAGCTGCGAGTCTCCCGCCGGGCTGGGAGGCTGAGTGGTCTCGCCTGAAAGGCGTGGGGCTGGGTGGGTGGGCGCTGGCCTGCGCCGGGACTGGCAACGCTGCTCCGGGAGCCGCTTCCCTTCTTCTAATTTTTTTTTTTTTTTTTTTTTTTTTTTTCCCCCCTTAATTTTGATCGACTAAGAGTGTTTGTCTCAGGATCTTCAAAGGACTTAAAGAGTAACAACTTTAATGTCGATGAATACTTGAAATCTAATGTAAGGTGTTTTTCTCCAGATGACAGTCTAGCTATAATAAAGTTTGTAGGTTAGTAAAATAGATAATTTTAAATATAGACGTTTGAAATACATATGTTCTGCAGGATCGTTTTAAGGAAATTTGGGCCTAAAGGTTAACACTTGAAATACCAGTTACGGCTGGACTCAGGACCTGGTAGTAGCTATAGCTTATTTCTTACTGCTTGCGTGTGAAGTGTATCGTGCATAGGAGCTTGTTGGCAGCTGTTCCCCCCCGCCGGCGTGGGTGTCGGCGCGGAGCTAGCGGGGGTGGTCGTGACTCTGCCTCCTTAGGAATCCACAGCAGCGGCGGTTCTGGACCGGTGGCGATTTTGATCTTCTCCTCATCTTAGAGAAACCTTTTCACGACCGCTTTACTGCGTAGGAAACTCAGGAGTAGAAGGTTCCTGTGTGCTATTACTCTGTACGTCCTCGAAATCTAAAATAACTTGCAGCTGAAAGTCTTCAGGATCCCCAGAGCCGGTGCTGCGTTTCATCGGGCCAGTGCTGTCACGTCTGAGGGTGCTGCCGACCCAAGGGGGAAAAATAAACCTCATCCTGCTCTCTCAGTGGAAACGTGCATGAAATAAAGCTGTTGGTTCAGAGAACTTGGTAGCACGAAGCAGAGCGTGTGTCTCATGGAAGAGCAGTGCCGCCTTTTGAAACCAAGCTGTCTTTTTTTAAAGAAATAACCAACTAGGAATTAGAGAATAAATTCTAAGAATTGCTCAGTCATGGTCACCACGTAATTGAGACTTTTTTTTTTTTTTTAAATATCAGTGGTTTTCTAGATAGCGGAGGATGTTATTGCCGTTCCTTAAATGAGGCTTTAATGCTGGGGAGGCTCACGATTGCAGAGAATCTGTGCTTTGTATTCTTTACGTTTTTATCTTCATAAAATGTCCACTGTGAAAATTATCCCAAAGTTCACTGAAAAGGAAGAAGAGCTGCAATTCAGGTCTACGGTCAGAACAAAACCGTCTTAATGTTATTTAAAAACTAAGAACCCACAGAAATAAAATGTATAAAATATAGTTTTCCTGTCTCAGAATTGCCATGTGGTTTTTATTGTGGGTTTTTTTTTTTTTTTCTAATACCAAGTGATTTCAGTCGAGTTTAAAAGATTGCCTCCTCGCTTCGCACGCTCCCGTTTGGAGAAGGGTTGGCATTTACCTCAGGCTTACCTAGCAGCACGGGCTTTGAAAGGGGCACGGAGTGGCCTTTGGAAGGGCCGCGGGACTCGGTGCCGTGGGGCTGGCAGGGAGCTGGCGGCGAGCACTGGGGGGGGGGGGGGGGGCTCAGCCTGGTGGGCCCCAGCCCTCGCCGGCTCAGCACCCGGCTGACGCGGGAGGAGGGGGAGAGGGTCCTCTCGGCCGGAGCGACCCTCGGGGAGCAGGGGCCGAACCAACTCCCAGCCCCCACCTCTACCCCCAAACCCCCCCCGGCAGTTCACTGAAAAGGAAGAAGAGCTGCAATTCGGGCCGGGTGTTGGCGGGCGCGGGGCGGTTCCTCGTCAGGCGGGTGTCGGGAACGCCGGGGTGCCCAAGCTCTTGCCCTCCGCCTGATCAGACGGCGACTTCTGTTGTTTCCGCAGCGAGTGAGCTGCGCCCGAAACCCTGAACCTCTCGGAGCCGGTGGAGAGCGGGCAGGGCCCGAGTCTCTCCTTGGGTCATGTCAACCTACGGTGGTTTTTTCAGGACCTTTGCAGCCAAATGTCTGTCCTGTTGCCTGGTAATAAACGGGCAGTTAATTGCGCCAACAGCATCTGCATGTGCAGGAATGAATTTTATGGGTAGCTATGTTTTGGGAGGTTTTTTCAGTCATTCTAGAAAAGAAGAGTTAAGGGATGTGTTTGCTGTCAGTAGTGAGGGCAGGTGGCCTCAGCAGGCGTAACGATTTAGAGAATTTCTGGTCTCTGGAGGGAGAGATCCACAGTCGAGGTCACTGCGGTATTTTTTCATGTTTTTAATATCTTCCTTGTTACCATACCAGTATCACTTTTGTTGTAGTTTGGCTGAGACGTCTTTAACAAATTTAAGGTCAAATGTGTGTGTGAATATATATTTATACATACATATATATACATATATATAAATATAAAATATTGCTGTACATTATTTGCATTAAGCAGTTACTGCTCCCCAATTTTCCTGTGTGATAGTGTGAATACCATTAGCTCTACCTACCTGGTGTAAGGATATTAAAGAACACACTCAGATACTGTCCTCAACAGTAACTTTCTCCACTCATAATCACAACTCTGAAGATGAGACCTCGCTTTACCTCTGGTTTGTCTCTTTCTTTACAGCACACGGTCCTATCCTGGCATCACCGCCGAAGCACAACCCATCGGTCGATTATTCTAAGCAATGACTGTTTTGCATACTACCTTGCTTTGTTTAATTAATGTTTGTACAGAGATTTGAAAATATAAAGAGCTATATCATTGCTAAGTTTCATCACTGTTTTTGTGTGTTGATATCCATGGTAGCAACAAAAAAAAAAAAAAAAAGTGAAGCATCACAGAATACCGCGTGTCCTTAAAACGGTGGGGTTGGTTACATCCTGGAGGGCTAGCGAGGAGGTAAGCTGAGGGGATATTTCTGAAGCAGCCCACTAGAGCTCTGAAATCGCAGCTTTTGCAAAGAGGGAGGGAGGGATTGCACGCTTGGGAACGCGCAGCACCACGTGGCCGCGGAGGCAGGAGTGCCTGCGGCTGGGAATGGGAAGCTCCGGAGGTGGGAGCTGCCCTCCCTGCCCTCGGGGACACCCACCTGCGGCGCGCCGAGTCGCTGCCGGCCAGGATAACGGGCCAGGTCTGCAGCCCCGGCACGGACACGTGGCCTGTGGCTGGGCGCGGGGAGGGCTGGGCGGCTTTTGCAGTTGCTTGCTCACATCCCGAGCGGATGTGGCCCCCTAACTTCTAGGGACTTGCAAGTGGTCACCGGGGTTTTCCACCCGAGCGCGTCCCCGCGTTGAGTTCGGATGCTGCGCGTGGTCGTAGCCTTGAGCCCCGCTGCCGGGCGAGCCCGGGGGGGGTGGGAACCCAACTCCCCGGTGCTGGGGTGTCGTGGTTTGGGCCTGGTCAGCAGCCAACCACCACGCAGCAGCTCTCTCTCCCTTCCCCTCCGGCAATGAGAAGGGACAGAGAGCCAGGCTTGGGGTTCGAGATAGGACTGGGATGGGGAAAAATTCCCCTTTATGATCACGAGCAAAAGGCAGACTCGTTAGGGGAAGAAAAAAAAGAACATACATTTATTACAGACACTAACAACACATAACAGAGTAGGACAGTGAGAAGCACTGCCACATCTTGAGAACACCTTCCCCCCACCCCTCCCTTCTTCCCGGGCTCAGTTCTGCTCCCGATATCTCTACCTCCTCCCCCAGTGGCGCAGGGGCAGGGAATGGGGGGTGCAGGCAGCGCTGCCACTTCCTTCATCTTCGGTGAGGGGAGTGTCCGGAACTTGTTCCTCCTGCTCCATCGTGGTCCCCCTCTCACAGGAGACAGTCCTCCACAAACTTTCTCCGACATGAGTTTCTCCCATGGGCCTCAGCGTTCCCCACACTGCTCCGTCATGGGTCACTAACTTCCTCCGACTGGATTCCCTCCCACGGCTGCAGCCCTTCCCGAGCTGCTCCGGCGTGGGACTCCCCCGCATGCTGCAATCCTCCCAGTGCTGAATTACAGCAGCGGGGCTGCCTTTTCCCATGAGACCCCGGCCTTCTTCAGGCACAGAACCTTGATCATGCAGGCAGGAGCAACAGGCCATAAATCAATGTCTGCTCCACCGTAGATCTCCATGGGTGGCAGGGGGGGGCCGCCCTGCCGTCTCCCCACAGGATACAGGGGGGTCTCTGCTCCGGCACACCTCCCCCCCCTTTCTTCCTCCGTTCCTCCACTGACCTTGGTGTTCATGCAGCTGCCCCAACTCTTCCTCACCAGTCCCACCACCCGTCACCACGTCCCTTCTTAAATACGTTATCGCAGAGGCGCAGCTGATGGGCTCAATTTTGGTGCAGAGGTGGAGCTGAGTTGGAGCTGGGGGAGCTTCGAGAAGCTTCTCACAGGGGGCCGCCCCGATAGCCCCCTCCCCTGCCACCAAAAAACTCCACCACTCACTCAAACCCAGGACATGGGGACAGCAGAAGCCCAGCCACCGGCTGCTTGCCCTCAGTCAGCACCTGTCCTGGCAAAAGCGGGGCAGCCAGGTCCCAAAGGGGCTGCCCTTGCATCCTGCTCGGGGACATCTCTGCAGCAGCATCCAGAAACAGCCAGCAGGGCCCTGGGACGTTCCCCAGGCTGAAGGGCCCCACTAGCGGCGCGGAAGGTCCCGGCGTTGGCTCGGCTGACCAGCCGCAGCAATGTCCTCTCAGATCAGGGGCTGCAGCGAGGGCTGGGGCAGCGCAGGGCCCCCCCCCCGGCCCCGCAGCATGCAGCCTGGCCTCCAGAAGCAGATGCAGAGCTCGCGGGCCAGAGATGATGCTCACCCGGCACACTCTTCCGTGCACAAACCAGCGTGAGCTTTGGTGACAGAACCAGCTGCCGTCTGGGCACTGTTCATCTGAGCCTGCATGGAGGAAATTCATCCTTAAAAAGCGACGGATCCATGTCAGTTCAGCTCCGCAACCAGCTTGTTGTGGGCCTGATGCAGGCGGTGGCCTTCAGGCTGGTATTGTTCACACCTGGCTTATCCGCTCAGCTCCTGGTGGGGAGAAGGAGCACAATGGGTGATGCACCCTCGTTGGAAAGAGCCCGTTTAAGCTCCGTGACCTCCCTTAGGAACAACAGGGAAAGCAAAGACCAGGCGTATGCAAAAGAAACCTTCATCAGCATGAAGATTTTTTCTGAGATGGTGGCTTGATGGGTGTTGTCACCAATTGCGTGCCATGGTCCCCAGCACAGCCACAAATTGGATGATGCTGGATAGTGGGAACCGTACAGAGGGGAGGGCAACAGGGCTGGCAGAGGCACGGCACAACCCACCCACTCTGCTCCTGGCAGTTTGCTCCACGTGTTTCTGTGTCACCAAGAAAGGAGACAGCTTTGTGGCTGAAGGACACCATTTCTGAGCGCCTTTGCCCGCTGCCATGAGCACAAGTGAGCTGGGTGAGCTGGCTGGATCTGGCATCCGAGCTGCCGCGTAACAACAGGGCCACGTTCCTCCAGCGGATGAGGCCAGCGAGCAGAGAGAGGTTCCTCCTCCTAGCACCTGCTCCTGTCCCCCCCACTCGCCCTGCCCCGCCAGCGGCACCGCAACAAGAGGTGCCAGACCCAAGAGCAGCTCCTGACCACGATGGGTTTCCCTGCAGCCTGGCAATGCTGGGCTTTGGCCAGTGTCGTGGTTTAGGCCTGGTTGGCAGCCAACCACAATGCAGCAGCTCTCTCTCCCTTCCCCCCCGGCAATGAGAAGGGACAGAGAGCCAGGCTTGGGGTTCGAGATAGGACTGGGATGGGGAAAAATTCCCCTTTATGATCACGAGCAAAAGGCAGACTCGTTAGGGGAAGAAAAAAAGAACATACATTTATTACAGACACTAACAACACATAACAGAGTAGGACAGTGAGAAGCATTGCCACATCTTGAGAACACCTTCCCCCCACCCCTCCCTTCCTCCCGGGCTCAGCTCTGCTCCCGATATCTCTACCTCCTCCCCCAGTGGCGCAGGGGCAGGGAATGGGGGGTGCAGTCAGTGCTGCCACTTCCTTCATGTTCGGTGAGGGGAGTGTCCGAAACTTGTTACCCCCTGCTCCATCGTGGTCCCCCTCTCACAGGAGACAGTCCTCCACAAACTTTCTCTGACATGAGTCCCTCCCACGGGCCGCAGCGTTCCCCACACTGCTCCGTCATGGGTCACTAACTTCCTCCGACTGGATTCCCTCCCACGGCTGCAGCCCTTCCCGAGCTGCTCCAGCGTGGGACTCCCCCGCATGCTGCAATCCTCCCAGCGCTGAATTACAGCAGCGGGGCTGCCTTTTCCTGAGACCCCGGCCTTCTTCGGGCACAGAACCTTGATCATGCAAGCAGAAGCCACAGGCCGTAAATCAATGTCTGCTCCACCGTAGATCTCCATGGGTGGCAGGGGGGGCCGCCCTGCTGTCTCACCACAGGATCCAGGGGGGTCTCTGCTCCGGCACACCTCCCCCCTCCTTTCTTCCTCCGTTCCTCCACTGACCTTGGTGTTCATGCAGCTGCAGCAACTCCTCCTCACCAGTCCCACTGCCCGTCACCACGTCCCTTCTTAAATACGTTATCGCAGAGGCGCAGCCGATTGGCTCAATTTCCCAAACAGAAGTGGAGCTGACTTGGAGCTGGGGGAGCTTCGAGAAGCTTCTCACAGGGGGTCGCCCCGATAGCCCCCTCCCCTGCCACCAAAAAACTCCACCACTCACTCAACCCAGGACAGCCAGCCAGGTGACGTTCTCCTGCCGGGACCATCATTGCTCAGGGACCTATCGCACCAGACTCAGCTGTGGGTACTTACGGGAGGGCAGCAATCTCCTCTGGACATGGTTCCTTCTGCAATGGAAGTAGGAGGCAGGAAGGGCAGGGGCCCCGTGCCCTGGTCAGCGGTGCCATCTCCTCATCTCTGCTGCTCTGCAAACACTGCCTCGAGCTACCAACTTCCCCGAAGGAGAGACAGCTCAGGCAGCTGCTGGAGAGGGAGCAGGCATGGGTGGGCGCCGAAGCCCCTGGCGAAGCCCCTTGCTGCCCTGTGCTCGCCCTGTGGGGCTGGCAGCCGTGCCCCTGCCCGTGGCCGCCAGCCTGCGCCCCGCACACGCTCCCTCCCCTCGGGCGTGCGGCCCCGTGGGCTCTCCTCCGGGCTCCTCTCCCACCCCAACCCCGGGGGTGCCGGCAGAACCCCGGGTTTTGGCAGCAGGGTGGCACCGCAGCTCCCCTGGGGTGCACCCAGCCGTCCACTCCCTCCAGAGCCCGGCTGCTGGCTGGGCCTCGTGGGGGGTCCCGGCCAGTCCTGGGCACAGGGGCTGCCCGTCCGAGGGGGAGAGGCTGCGCCACCCCTCCCCTCCATCCCCTCGGCCGTCGGGTTCATCGGCGAGCTGCAGCCCTGCCAAGGGTGGGAGTGGTGCTGGGGCCAGCGGGATCTGTGGGGGGCTGTGCGTGCCCACGGCACGTGAGGGGAGGGCAGGAAGAGCTCCACGTCATCTGCCAGGGTGAGTGGGGACACGGGGGCATCAGCTGGAGGAAAGACCCCGGGCGGGGAGAGACGATCCCTGCCCCAGCCGGGGAGGGCTCCGTGCCCTGTGCGGCCGAGGGGGTGGCGTGGGCAGAGCAGAGAGAGATTTCAGGGGCACGTGGGGTATTTGTGGCCAGCACCTTCCAGGTGAACCCGTTGGCTCCTTTCTTGGACATAGGAAGAGCTGAGCAGGGTGGCCCTGGCAGGAGGGGTCCTGGGGTCCCTGGCGATGCGGGTGCTGATCTTGGCACATCAGGGAGGAGGAGGAGGAGGGCGAGAAGGAGAAGGAGGAAAAGGAGGGCGAGGAGGAGGAGGACAAGGACAAGGAGGACAAGGACGAGGATGAGGAGGACAAGGAGGAGGAGGAGGACGAGGACGACAAGGAGAAGGAGGAGGAGGACAAGGAGGATGAGGAGGACGAGGAGGAGGAGGATGCGCTCGTGTCCCACGTGGCAAGGGGTGGATGGGGTCCGGGCCTTTCTGTCCCCATGGCCTCCGGCGCACAGGCCCTGGGGCTGCCTGTCTTTCGTCACGAGAGCTGCGTGAAAAGACTGCAGGGGAACGAGGGCGGCATTAACGTGATCACAGAAGCACCTGGAGTGAGCACTCACCCTGACACGGCCCACCCGCTCCAGCCCTTCAATCCCCAAATGCCCACAGACCCCAAGAGAAAGCCAGAGACAGGGGAGGGATCCTTCCTCAGCCAAGCCTGGTTTGCACAGCCCCATCCTGCCCATGGCTTTGCCACCTCCAGCGCTCGCAAGGCCCACGGACATGCCTGGTAGCCACTGATGCTTACTCCTTTCCTCTCCCACAGGACCAAAAGAGGGCAAACAACCCCTGCCTCACCACTCAGCCCTCTCAGCAGCAATCCATCGGCCGGTTACAGTAAGCCCCACACACTATCCTCATTCAAAGGTAACCACGGTTGCCTTAACAGGTTTTACAGGTGCTCACAAACCCTACTCCGGTGCTGGCTGCAGGAGACAGCAGCTCTGGTCCAGTGTGGACGGGGAGCTCTGGGTCTAGGGCTGATCATAGACTGGTCTACTGTCTCCACCTTGTGACAGAAAGGCTGTGCTGGCAGCCAGGGAGCTCAACGGCCAAGAAAGGACCTGCATGCAGAAAAACCCCAGCACAGCAGGGGTTCCTGCGGTGCCTGGGCAAAGGACACCAGCACAGCTTTGCTTCGGGCTTCGCTCCCTCTTTAAACCTTCCTCTGTGGAAAGGAATGGGAGCCGACACAAAGTGTGATGCTTGTCCTTGAAAGTGGAGAGAAAAGCCTGCTGCAATACTCCCTGTGGATACCCTTGCACCTCACAGAACTTTCCATCTTTTTATTTTGTCTTTTCCCACGGTACACTGAGAGAACTGATCCTCTAAATCCATCCACTCTAAAAAGGGAACATAACAGCAGTTCTGCCAAGCATACAAACCTTATAAGCTCTCCCTGTGCAATGGGATAACGAGGCCTGCTCTGTTCATTTCTGCAACCCAGAAAACAGCAGACAGTGGTCGAACACCAGCAAGTACAGAATTACAGGGCAACAGATGTTTTGCCACAGATTGCCAGATAAAGGTGCTGTGGTCATGGGTACACGCATCACTGGGTATGTATCTGTGTATATACATGCTTGTAAAGATACGAAGGGGTCACTGCAAAGACAAAGGATAGTCCTGTCTCAAAATCTTGTGGACTTAAACAAGGAAATCCCCACCCTGTTGTCCACTCCTGCCACCCTTCCAGCTTTTTATCGTGACGATAGGGGTTCAAGGGAGAGGGGATGGCGTTGGAAGCCCTTGACCGCAAGAGCTGTCACCCTGCTCTAGTCTCCCTAATCCCCATTTTCTACTGGAGCCAGAAGGGCACATGGAATTTCTCTACAACCTACATGTGAGCTTGCCCTCTGCTGCCTTTGACTCTTCCAGCGAGGCTGGGACAGCACAGCAGAGTGAGGCACTGCTGCCCTCAGGGTCCAGCCCAGGGCCAGGCAGAGCTCCTCGGGCAGAGCCCCGGCTCCGGCTCCCCTGGGAACCCGTAGACAACCCTCAGATCCCTCTTGCACCTCCTCCAGGCTGAAAAAGCCCAACTCGCTCCTCCTCGCCTCACACGCCGTGTGTTTTCCAGCTGCCACTTCCTCGGGACCTTGCCCCATCCTCCTTGCAGTGGGGGGCACCGAGCTTTGCCAGGCGCAGACCCCCAGTGCCAAGAAAAGTAACCCCGGTGACACTTCTAATGCAGCACCTCATGGGACAGGCAGTAACAAAAAAAAACTTCACTGCAGTTTCTCCTACACTGGAGGCCGACGCTGGGGAGCCGGGAGATGGCAAAGTGCACGGTTAGAAAGAAGTAAGAAACATGGATTCGTCGCATAAAATGCTACAAAGCTTTTTATTTTCCTTAATGAGGTATCCGTCACACGCAAAACGCCACCGTCGCTTAGAATGGCGCACAGGCTAACCGAGGGCGTTTGACTTGGTGGGCAAAGGCACTGCTTTGGAACGCTGGGCTCCCCACTCTGTCGCCAGAGAGGCTCAGCCGCTGCACGGAGAGACAACAAACAGCTGGTAAGAACAGGAGAGCTGCTGCTACTACCGCCCGAGAGGTCAGCGCAGCTTCTGCTGCAGCTGCACGGGAGGAAACCGCCTCACTGTGTGGGAGCACCTGTGAAGTGGCCACTGCACAGGGCAGGAGGGCTCTACGTACTCCTACTCAAGCCAAGAGGAAGTTGAAAGGACAGCTAACAGCGAGGTAAGCCTGTAAAACTGACTTTAAGGAAAAATGACCGCTTCACCTTTTTGAAATCTGTCTCCTAGTCCACGCCTGGAAAAGGTTTCTCCTGCTTAACAGAGCCCGGCAGACCTGCAGGGCGAAAGGCCCACCTGAAGCACAGAATGGAGCTGAGTAACGCCCAGCAGTCGGGAGACTACAGGAGCTACAACTGGTGCTTGTACAAACCCCCCCTCACTTTCCCTCTGCCCCCCCCCGGGGCTCCTCCCCCGCACCACCAGTCCCCCCCCTCGCCCCCACGGCTCCCGCCCGCGACGCTTACACCCCTAATCTGGGGGCCCAACGGCCCCTGCTGTCTGGGACCGGCCTCGGTTTCCTCCCCTGCCTAAGCTGAGAGCAGACACGCAGAAAATTCATTTGTCGAGTTGCTGGGACGATCCAGCCCGTCGGCGTGAAAACCCGCGCGACGCAGCACCGAGCCCAGCGCCCGGGCGATCCCAGACGGGCGCTGATTTTTGCATCAGACCAGCAGATGGGAGGCCTCTGGGAGACAACGGGGGGGGGGGGGCGGAAAAAAAAAACAACAAAAAAACCCCAAAAGTTTCCTTAGAGAAGAAACACAACCTTGCTCTTCCCGCCCTAGCAGCCCCATCTCTGTGCCTCTCGGCCCAGACCCACTGAGACTGCTGGAAGCAGCTGGCGCTCAGGTGGAAGTACCAGCTCCTCTTCTCTCATCCAGCGCTGACCGCATCAGACCGTCGGTACGCTCACAAGCCTCTATCTGAAACGGGAAGCTCTCCCCAAGGAATTTATGCACAATCTGCAGCTCACGTAGTGCAGGTCACAGAACCGAGATGGATTTTTTTTGCCATCAGAGGCAAACACTGAACAGAACGAAAAGGAAAGGCAGAGGTGCAGGACAGAACGCGGCCGTGTTACATTTGTAAACGTTAAAACTGCTCCTCTTCCTCCTCAGAACTCCACAGAGAGCTAGACTTCATTTGTTACGCCGTGTCAGGATAAAGTTTTGCCTTTCAAATCTCAGTTGCAGTGCGTGGTATTGTTCTTTAATCCGAGCTATGCTGAGAATTGGGTCCCAGGCTGACTTCACTCCTCTCTCTCTCATTGATGCCTGACTAAGAAGATGAGTATTGCTTGTACTTCAAAACCCAAATGTCAAGTAAACACTGAGGGTAGACGACTGAGCTGTAGTTTGGTCAAAGGGAGGTATTTCCCCGTTGTTTTTCCCTTATTCTTTTAGCTCACCAGTACTGCAGTCCTTGGATTTCTCTGCATTTTAGTATACAATTTTCCAGTGAGTTGGCTGCTCGCAGCTTTTCTCTTTTTCACCACAAAATCGGTTGTAAGTTGTTTTTGGATCAAATCCCAAGATCTCCCTTTCCTCGTGGATCCGAAAAGAAAACGTCGAAACTGAGGTGCCTATAAAATACCTGTGGAAAAAAAAAAGAAAAAAAAAAAAATAAATCAGAACGGGTTAGTGAAGGGGGCCAGCTTTTAGAATGCAAGTAATTGATTTCAGTCCAATGAACTTTACTGCTCAGTGAAATTATATGACATGAAATTATCATATATATTATAAATATACGATATAGCTATTATGCATCTATTTTATATATATATAGCAATTATAGGATATCGTGTCATACATGATTTGTAAGCAACTATATCCAAGTCAAGAGCAAGATTTGGCTCCTCAAAGTCCAATTCGCTACCTTGCGTGTGCACAGATCCACTGGTCGATCACGGCCCAGCCCCCATCTTTGTAAAGCTCCAGCTCCTCCCACGAGGGTTCAAACCTCACCATCTCGGGCAGCAGTTGCTTGAGCAACTCGATCTCTGAAAAAAGGGAAAGAGGCAAATTTAGTTTTTACGTTGTAACGAGCAACTCGCTGCCGCCAGAAAACGCCTGTGCTTGGGGAAACCCTGGGTGAAGAGCGAGCGACGCGAGCGAACCCCAACTCTACCTACAGGTTTTCTCAGGCCACGTTTGCCAAACGTCGGGAGTATCGTAGGCACGGGGTGGGGAGCCAGGGGGGGCAGAGCCACGGTGCCGAGGGGGGGCGATTCGGGGCTGGGGAAGCCTGCCCAGGGCAGGACAGACACCCCCCACCCCGAGCCTCGCGGGCTAGGGGTGCCACGAGGCCTTTCCCCAGAGCAAACTTAGATGGGGTACCACAGACGCTGTGCCCTGCGGGGTTATTCTAACCAGGCGTTGAAACAGATCCCTAGATGCTAGCAGGAGGGAGGTGCAGCCCTGGGGTAACGCCTGGGGAGGGGGGGGGACACCCCACCTTTGGCCACGCACAGCCAGACCCACCCCGGCCTGGTGACGGGGGCAGCCAAGGGGAAGGCTGGGTGGGAGACTGCAGAGGACCCTTCCCACCGGCGTGTCCGAGAGCCTCTGGAATGCCAGGAGAAAAGGTGGGATGGGAGAAAGAGGAGGAGGGGCAGGCAAATTCAATTTCCAGTTTCCCACCGTAGAGACTGTCAAACCTCCTGGGGGGAATAACCGAACGACCTGTTCAAGGTGGAAGGAAACAGCTGCCCAATCCTGTTCAGCTCCCCGTTCAGCCACGGAGGCGTATGAACTTCTAGTCATTTATAAAAACAAAATAGCAGTTGTTGCACTCGTCGTCAGAAGTTAGCAATCCTAAACTGACTATAATCTGCCTACCCTCCTCGACAGCATCGGTGGCTACAAAAACTTTTTCAAGTTTATTCATCTCCAAGAGGCTGCGGATTTTCTTTACTGCTCCTTGCAGGGAAGGCACGTCTTCTCTGTGACCCCAAACAAAGTCTTTCCTTCTGAGATGAACCCCAAGGTATGGACCACCTAGAGCTGTGCCCGTCTTAACCTAAGAGAAGAAGATGAACAAGCTTTAAAAATTGAGAGCACCTCTATTCATTCACACTGAAAAGGCCTGAATGCATCATCTCTGGGTAAGGCATTGCATTACTCTAGCTGCAGAAAGTCATTTTAAGGTATAGATCAGCAGTGCTGAACATGCACGTCCACTTCAATCTGAGCAGGGAGAGAGCTACAGTCACAGGCACCTTCCAATATTCCCTGCAGCGTACAGCCAGGAGTACACAAATAAAACGAAACAAAAAAATGATTACGTTTGTTATGGGAAACAGACTGTTATGATTTTACCTTCATCTGTGTCCAGTCCTCCTTGTAATGAGTCCTGTCGGCCTCATCTGTGGATTGAAGATATTTGTTTCTAAACTCGTCTCCCACCACACGGAGGTGTTTAGCAAACACCATGCTCCGGCGGGTCTGTTGGAACGAGAGCAGATGCCGAGTCAGGAAGAAGAGCTAAAAATGACTAAATGGAGATGGTTTCACTTACACAGAGCTTCCAGGCTGCAGTTACTTCCAATACATCCATGCAGCGCTACAAGCAACAATTTCTAATCTTTCAGCTGAGCTTTAACTGTCTAATCTTAATCATAACCACATTTATAACCAGCATACTTGTCTGACCCTGCAATACACAGGTATACAGAGCAGACTATAGTTATTTACACAACAAAACACGTGATACAGCAAATTAAACACTCTAGCCATATACTTCACCTTTGGAAACAAATGCTGGGTAAAGACTTTAGCTTGTAAAGCACCTGTAAGAATAAAACCTGCTTAAAAAATCATGCATCTAGCCATAGACACTCCTACCAAATTCAGCAAGGAATGATGAAAAAGGAATTATTTCCTTCACCTGTGGATAATAACCTCTTTCAAAGACTTTGTGATGCAGTTACCACCGCACAGTCACACACAGCCTTCTTATTAACAGCCACACACACCAGAACTAAGGAAGTCCTACGCGACTTACGCCACTTACAGAGGACGCTTGGTAACCTGGCCCAATTCTTAATTTTATACAACTCCACAGCCTGTCACACGATGGGCATCAGAGAAGAGGCAATGAAAACGCTTCCATTTCCAGCGGCCGCTCTTCTCTCAGCGCGCTGTAGCCCAGAGCGAACAGTTTGCTCCGCAGCAGAGAAGCCAGGCAGAGCATTACTGGTGCTCCAAGACGCAGCCGCACCAGTCGTGCCTCCGCCTGGCTCTGGTAGAGGCAGGGACTAGAATCTGCCAGACTTTTTCACCTTTTCCCAGAGCAGCTATTTCTCCATCGCCAAACTTGCTGCGGTCGCACTGGTTCCCCCTCTGTATCGTTCGACAAGACGCTGAACAATTCAGTCTTCTGTAAGATCCACGACATTGGTACCTGGAGATCCACACCCATCTAAATATTTAACGGCAGCACAAAGCTTCTAGCATCCTAAAGAGACCAGCACTGGCTTTCTAATCTCATCCCAAACTCTTCAGCAAAACATTTACATTAAGGGAGGACGTACACACTGTCTGCAGCAGAACGCTCACGCTGCAGTTCAGAGACATCTTCCCTCCTTTTTGTACTACGTCAACACAAAACAATCCTGTCGAGTCACTGGGTACCCTACCCAAGATGTGATGAACCCAAGAGGCAGCAAACGCGCACGCAACCCACGGCAGTGCAGCGCACTGGGGAGGACAGTGATCACCTCTCAGCGTCACGCTTGTGCCAAACATCTCTAGATTTCGTCCCGACAGACCGCGCCACTGCCGTGTCAGGTCTGGCACCCACGCAGCACGCTCTGCCAATTTTTCCCTGGGCACAAAGCGTTCCTCTGACAGCAGCTGTTCGGGATGAACACTTGTTTTGCAACAGCATATGTAAAAAGAGGAAGCAGATGAATGTGCGAACCGCCACCGATATACTTTCTGAAGCGGATGCTCTCTGCATCTGCTTATCCTCTTATTTAAAGTATATGTTTCAAATCTGCACATGTGATATTGTCACCCGTTCCAACTACCTCCAAGTTTTGCTGCTTCTCCCCTTCTGTCTGCAAAGAAACAAACAACAGAGAAGGGAGAGACGCTTCTCAGAGGCGTGTGGAAAAAGACGAGAAGCCGTGGGGCCCAAGCTGCAGCAAGGCAACTTCTGTTTGGTTATCAGGCAAAACCTCTTGCCCCCAGGAGTGGCACAGCCGTGGGACAGGCCCCAGGAAGGCGGCGGAGCTCATCTGTGGGGACTTCCCACCTTCAGCAGGACACAGCCCCAGACCATCAGGGGAAGTTCTGGAGTGGAAGCCTTGGGGCAGGGCTGCCGAGACACCTCCCCACCTGAATTTTTCTGTGATTCCGAGTTTGGGAAAACAAACAAACAAACACAATCAGTGTTGGTTATGCTCTCTTTTGTGTACATGAATTGAATTGGTGGCACAGATCCTCTTAATTCTTTGAGATCATCCAGCCCAAACGGTAAAACCAAATGCAAAACTCCTGGCTTTTCTAGAGTTGTCCTTAGAGAATGTTCTGCTTCCATACAGATGGCAAAGCACTCGTGGCCTATGTGCTGCTACACTGAGGCTCTTCAAGGGATTCAACAGTTGCTCCTAAACCATTCTGGGAGGCTTTTCCTGCTCCATGGTCATTCGGCCATCAAGAATTCCAAAACAATAATACCTTTTGGCTTGCAGTGGTAGAGAAGCCTAGGCAAAAATGGTGACAACAGTGAAAGCAATGTGGCTTAATATTAAATTTGAACATTTTTGGACACCAAAGATGTAGGCTGGTTACAAAGAGAAGCTGGCTTGTTACAATTGGAAAACATGAGACAAGAGGGCACCTGTTAGCAAGATTTATAAAGAACTCCAGATGTTATCCAGAGAGTTGTTAAGGAAAAAAAGCAACCACAAATCATGCAGGTAGTTAAAATTGAAATGAAATAAAGAAGAGTATTTTTCAGAAAGTTTTAAATCATTTTGAGGCAAGTTTAAATTGTTGAGACAATGTTTAAAATGCCACTGTGAAGAAAGCCGTGCTATCGGTCCATAAGGATTTCATGTCTGCTTTTACAGGACTACAAGTCAGACTCAGAAATGATACATGGGTTGCATTGCTCTGTTTGGAAAGTCACTCTCAACGAAAAATTCATAGTTAGCAAACTACTGTTTGGTCCATTTCTGAAAAATATGCCATATACCAAGTGAATAGCCAGACGTTTTTTATCTTATGAGATGAGGTCTAGGTAACTTGTCTTGTAATATCACGAAAGTCACTTTCTCTCAGAAATTTTGATTATATCAAGCACTCCGTATTGTGTTCTGTTTTCCTGTGGCTGAACCTTTAACTTTGCCATAAAACTTTGCCCATAGGAATTATTTGACTGTAGACCCTCGGGCGGGGTCTCCCAAAGCACTCCGTGTTACCCTGAAACCCGTGGGAATTTTGCCATCGGAGCCAACGGAGAAACAGGACAATACTGAGCACTTCTGGGAACTCTTTTGAAAAGTCTAATTTTCAGGCTGACTGGGCAAGAAACTGCACAAAGGCAGTTCCCTTCTGACTGCACCTGTGTTGCACAGGGGAGGTCCTTCTCAACACCCCACCCTGCAGCACTGGGACAAGACACCAGGACAAATCCCTGCATTACATGAATCCACAGTGGCCTGAAGACCATCTTTAGCATACACTGCTGAAACATAAGACACAAGTTAGCTTTCAAGAAAAGAAACCCAAGGCAAAACTGAAGCACATAACGGTTATTGAATTTTTATCAGAACCAAGCACAAAGTCTAGAGAAGCTAACTGGAAAATACTCACATTCCAATAATCTTTCCCTCCGTAGTGGTCATGAAGAAGGTTTTCAGCTCTGTCTAACATCACTGACCTATTAAAAATTGTAAAACTGAGTGCAGTTCCCTTAGGAATATAATTTACATTAAGATGTTTCTTTATACAGTTGCCAGGATAAAGCACAGACTATGATCTGTTTGCAAAGGGAGCACGGGGAAGGAGGGGTAGGCTGCCAGCCTGTCCTGTACAAAGCAAACTGTGACCCATGGCCTGCTGCAGAGAGAAGGGAACCATGCCACTGCGTGTTCCTGCTCTCTGCCTTAATAAATGGTACTCTTAATTCCAACAGTTAAACACAAACAAGCATTAGCAATCCTTCATGTAGTCTTCACAGGAGTTGCTGCTGGAGAAGTAAGATTGCCAACAGGGAGAGTGATCCAGAGGGGAGAAGTGACCTGTGAGATGATGCTCAGCCTCGGAGCACATGCGAGCCTTTTGGAGGAAGCATGAGTCACTCTCACAAAAGCAAAACCAGAGAAGGTATACTCCACGTGTGGAATAAAATGTCCTACAGTAAAAAAAAAAAAAAAAACCAAACCAAAAAAAAAAAAAAAAAACAACCCAAAAAAACAAAAAACAAACCAACACAGACACTACAAGAGTGTTAGCAACTAAGCACAAATTTTAAAATGAAAATTTTTCACTAACAAGAAAACAGCCTGTGCTTTTCAAAAATACATACAGTTCAGGATTGTCCACTGGAAACGTAACTGCACTATCCAAGTTCTAAGAAGCCAAAGAGATTTTGAGAGTTTTGAGTATTCAGAAGCATAAGGGATGCGAGCACACTGAATATGAGCAAACACACAGAGCAATGCTTCTGCTGAAGAGGGTCAAAGTCATTATCTGGGTCTTCTACTAAAATGAGCAGAAGCAAATAACCAATCAACTTTAGATTATCACTGCTGATAATCAGCTGGACGCTTGCACGTAAGGCTACAGATAATGTGGAAAATAGACTAGACTCTGCCGGTGAAGAACCAGCACTGCATTTACTAGGAAGCTTGCAGGTGAACCAGATTAATAATCTAAATGTATCAAGAAGATTCCTATAAACGACCACACCTGAAGACTGGTAATACTCTATTAGGACCATACAACCGTCCGGCCGAAAGGGCAATACAGGAGATCAGAGAGGCCGTGGTGCACAAGTCACCACAGACACCGGGGATCTCAGCTACCCCCAGGCAGCCTGGGCAAGTGTCACAGCAGGGCGGGACTAGGCAGCTGCAGTCTGAGACACTGTCAGGCAGTTCCAAGAACCAACTGGGTGGGGGTTTGCTCCTGAGAATGTCTTGAGCAGCAGCAAGACACGGACCAAAATCTCACAGTAGAAGAGCTACTCAGGCTGTGGCCATAAACGTCCTCATCTTCAGCATCCTACTGCATCAGCAAGGCCCAAAGGACAGCTACCGCAGTTGCATTCGGTTTCAAAAAGGGGACTACACAAAAATGCAGAAGTAGCATCCAAGTGAAGAAAACATAAAGGCTCATAAACTCCAGGAAGTTAAACAGAAAAAGACAACAAAGAAGGTCAAAAAAGAATCTGGGCAACCATAAAGGCCTTCAATCTAATGACAAATCTTCCTTCCAAATTAAAAAAAAAAAAAAAAAAAAAGGAAATTAAAAGCTTAACAAGCACTTGGAGACAGTAACATCATAGCAGAAACAACTCATGTAATTTTTTGTAGCTGTGCACTCGGTGGAGGGGCTGGGAAGATTCACATGCTGGAACTACTTCTTTTTACAAGGAACGTATCAGAGAACATGTCTCAAACCAAAGTGTCCATAGGAAGCGTCCAGTGATGGAACAACTAGACAGAATGAACCGACAAGTGGCCAACACCGGGTGGTATTCACCTAGCAGTTGTCAAGGAACTCAAGGACAAAGCAGCTGGGCCACTAATTCTGGCAGGCAACTTCTCACTTAAAACCCCAACACGACAAATGCGATGTCAATTTTCTAAAAATGTCCTTGGGGAGGTCTGGGATGCAACACCGCAGTAAAGCTGATGCCAGTACTGGACAACTGAATAGCAACTATCATAAAAAACAGAATTAATGGATACCTAAGTGAATTGGAAAAGTATAAACATGGAGCTCTGAACAATCAGAGTAACCTGAAGACAAGCACGCATGCAGATAAGGGAAATCTCACTGACATTGCCTACCAGGATTTCCTGACAGCCTTCGTTAAAGGGCTTTTAAGAAAACAACAAAGGCACTGGAGGAAAGGTCCTTGCACAGATGTTAAAGAAGTTTAGGCATGGACAGATGTACAGTTCTCACTGTACAGGGAGGTCACAAGCAGAAGGGGTCTGCTTTTCACCATATTCCTAAACAACCTCCCAAAGGGCATGAATTTTGGGGTGACACAGCTTTCTGATCATTTTAAATTGCACAGAGCAGCAAAGAAAAAGGCCAGTTGTGAAGAATTAGAGAAGTCTGACGACTGGCCAATAAAGTAGCAGATGAAATTTAATGTGGGGGTACATCTAGTAAAAAACCCACTGGCTTTGACTAAAGGCCTCTATGCTAAGTGTCGATGCTCAGGAACGAGGACAGTTTGATGAAAGCATCAAGGCAACTCTCATCAGAGGTCAAAAAAAGGAACTTGTGTATTAGGAATAAGAAATACAGAAAAAGAAGAGAGCAGTAAACAGAGCATGTAATTATACCACTGTGTAATGGGTTTACCTGCACCCAGTGTGCAGCATCCAGCTGAACTGTAAAGGTTCAGAGAATGGCAGCGAGGATGACCCAGTGGCATGGAATGGCTTTCACAACTAATAAAGCCAGGGCTCTCCACACTGCAGAGGAGACAACTGAGGGGGAATACGACAGAGAAATGTGAAATCACGCACAGCGTGGAGGTGAATATGGAAGAGCTGTTTCTTCACTGTCTTTTCCACTACACGAACCATTAGATGAAACTTGCAGGTAGGAGTTACAAAAGTAAGTGGATTTTCACAGGGTGCACAGTTAAGGTGCAAAACCTTTAGGTCTTGTCCCAAGATTTTGTGGGTACTAACAGTGTGCACGGGCGTTCAGAAGGAAGCTTGCAGAGATCCATGGACTCGCTGAAGGATATAGAAGATAGGAAGATCACTTTTGGCTCAGAACGTCCCTACAACCACAAACCTGAAGGGTGTGACAGGACTCAGGGGAGGCATTACACACGCCTGCCCCGTTCTTCTACTTTTCCTCAGACATCTGACTTCAGCCACTTTTAATTTCACACGCTAAACTAGATCGACTTTTACATGAACCACTAGGTTTAACATGAACACTGTAGCTGCCTTTGCATCTCTGTTATGTTGGCACTTCTTCCTACCGGTGTCTGAGAAATGTCATCTTGTGACTAAAGCACCTTGTCTGCACATTAGGAATACCTGGGCACCACTCCTAATTTTTCTCTTCACTGTCCTCATCACAAGACCTTTGACAGTTGCCACGAAAGAGTTAATTGTAGGGCTAAACATGGAGACCTCTATGGCATATTTAATCCAGTTTTCTGCCGTCACCAGCAAAGATTCCGGTATAACTCCTACAAATAGAACAACATCCCTGTTAAAAAACAGGATTTTGCTTCCTCTGCTCCCAGCAGGAGGTACTATGGATCTCCACTGCTCTGCTGAGGGGAACCTTCCTCTCATTTCCAATTAAATTGCATCAATGTCAAATTTTGGGGTGTTTTTGCTCTCATGGCAAAACTGCGTATCAGCTTACATGGTTTGTGTTTCTCCTACGGAATTATCTCCCCAATGCATTCACAGACAGTGATTATTTCCTCTTCCTGTTCTCCCCTGTACCCCAGCAGCTTTTGCTTTGCTATGATGTCTTCAGTTGTCACAGGGTCACCGCTGACTGGAAATACTTTGCTACTGGGATAATGTAAGCGTGCTCCATCTCTCATATAATAGCTTTCCTTTCCTCTGAGTATCCTAGTGGAATCTCAGAGCAGAAAGACGAAACACGCTGCTTGCTTTCTCTAAACCCAGCTCACAGTGTTGAGGATGGACGTCACAGGAGACCAGGTACTGCACCTCATGATCTGAGACACAGGCATGGGAAACACCGATTCTACTCTGCTCATCCCCTCTTGACCCAGCACTGAAGGGTAAAGGAAGGAAAGGTAAACACAGGGTGGGGCAAGGGCATTTAGCTACCTGAGAGAGAATATGCAGGAGCTGAAGGCTATTTCTTTTTAGGTTTTAGCACTGCAGCATTTAACCTAGCTCACAGTTAGGTGTTTCTTACAGTGTAAATTCCTTTTGTAATGATTTTAATGGATTACTCAGTGATGAAGTACTACAGCAGTGGGCCATAGCCTGTGAGCTCCCCCTGCTCTTCCCACCTGGCAATGGGCTTGTCAGCACACCGTACAACAGCAAACAGTAATACGAGATAACTCACTGTGATGAAGTGTTCTTCAAAAGGATGGGAGCCACGATAGAGGCAGATCCTTGGACAGACAAACAAGAGACATTTAGGCCCCGCGTTTCCTCATAACCCCAGAACCATCCCCTGAAAAGGAACACAAAGTATTGGTTCACAGGCTTGTATTTTAAATTAATGCCTTATATAATGAAACAAATAAACGGTACACCGTAAAAAGATGATATGTCATGTAAATAAATCAGCCAGCTCCTTTATGCTGGTTTAGTGTGAAACAACAACTTTCTACAATTAGAACTTATAGTACAAATGTAACATTTTATTATTGATGAAGTCTTAAAAACAAAGTGAACCCCAAGCATCCAGAGAGTCACAGACAACACTTCAACAACCGCACAAGTCTGTTCTGTTAAGAGTAGGCAAATGTCTTATTCAATACAACTAAAAAGACTGAATGGACTGCTAGATATTACCTGTAGTACCCGTGTTTGTCTCTAGAGTACATAAGCTGATCAATGCACGGCCTTTCATCTATTTTTTCTTCCCATGTTCCTTCTTTCCATCCTTCTGCGTAGCCTTGTAGGACATAGATCTGTTCAATAAAGGGCCCACCTGACTCTGAGTAGAAGGCAAAGCGAAGCATTTGTGAGCATGAAAAACCACAACAAAGGTATGAACTAGCCTTACTCACAGTTAAAAATCTGCTAGAAATGCTAATACTACACTACTCTCTCTCTTCCCCGTTTTCCCCATAAAAAAAGGAAAGGAGGTTCTGTGTCAGGCAGAAAAGCTAAAAGGGTCGGGGGATGCAACAACCTGCTACTCCCACTCAGCTATGCATGACTTAATGTGCCAAATAGAACTGAATTGCCACGGAAATGTAGATTTAAAAGCTGGGTAAACCACATCATGAAGCACAGAGGTTTTCGATGCTGTAGGTAGCTGCTAGGGGAAGAGTACATCCAAGAAAAGGAGGTACTCCAAGTATGAGCCCTTCCTCCCCTAAATTTCAGGGTTTCTAAGTGCTTTTTCCCTAAAAAGTAAGGGACAATGATCCTTTTGGAGATCTTCGCAGAGGTGTGACGTTTGGTGGTCTTTATTGTTTTTGCTGAGAAAGTCTGTGACACTACTGCAGATTCTGGCATTTGGCGATTAGATCAACATGGCATTATATCCTAAATGAACCAACTTCACGGCTTCCATGCTCTCAGGGAAAGCCTTTCTCTTATATACCATTTTGTACACAAGAAGATGGAGCTAAGTATTTTGAGTACGTGCAGCACTGACGATGAAAAGGTAAGTTCATTGAAGAATCCACTGTACAGCTTTTACTGTCCAACCACCTCCATAAAAAGGTGGCTTGTCTGTATTTCAACAGAGAGCTGCAGACTGCCTCTCTCTCCTTGCAGGTTTGTTACTATGGCCAAAATTATGCAGAAGTATCTGTGACTTTAACCACAGGCTATAACTATCATTCTCTGTGGATCCCAGGAAGTCGAGGGGCCGACAGTGCTATAGCAAACGAGCCGCTAAATAATTGGGTTATTTCATCCCAATGGTTTGTTACTTGGCACAATTCTTTCCCACCCCTCCTCTTGCTGCCTTTTTTTATTTCACACATAAGGATAAAAGCACATCTAAGGCTAAACCTGTGAAGAAACCACCTCAAATATTTAGTCAATTGTAGATTGCATGATTCCATACTCTACCTGCAAGGAACTGCTCATATTCAATGACAGGGATGTTCCTGTTGAGGCTTGGGAGATCGAAGAACTCGGACCAAGGGATCCGGACCTGAAGGATGTCGGGGCTCTGCCAGTGATAAAGGCGTCCCCAGGGAGGCAGAACCAACACCCAGTTTTCACTTTTCAGCAAGGTCTTTAGAAGGGAAGCAATGCGAACATAGACATCTCTGCGAAGGTTGAACCCTTCAGGAGGATTTACATCATACAAAAGGTATCTGGGGAGCACAAAGCAATATAATTGCTTTGAGATGTTTAAAACACTTATGGGTTGTTTTGTTTTTGTTTTTTTTTCTCTCCATAATTACATGATGCAACTTTAGCAGGATGGAAACTGTTTCTCTTTCACAGGTTTGCGGCACTCAGAAGATGGAAGGGGAGGAGGCAGGGGAAGGGGGAGTAGCGTGTGCCGCAGGGTCTGGGGGGGGGGTGACTGGGGTCTCCTGAGGGGACACCACCAAGGTGGCACATGCCACCAGCCGTTCCTACGGCGGGGCAGGACTTGGGGGGGCCAAGGAGTGAACCCCTCGGATGCCTTGCTTATGAGGGTAACCGTGGTGCGTGGCGAGAGCGGCTAAATAACTGGCACGTTACTCGGACTAATTTATGGGAGCTGAATGCAAAGGTGGGAGGGCGTGTCCGGGAGGGATTGAGAGGGGGGGGGGAGGAAAGGGTGCGTGTCACCCAGCGCAGGGTCCCCGGAGCAGGAAAGCCCCCAGGCAGCCGCGACGGGCGGCGGCATCTTCCCGAAGAGACCCAAACAGCAGCCGCGGGCGAAGGAGGCCCCTCGCCCTCCCTCGGGGCTCCCTGCGCCCCCGAGGAGGGTCCCCTCCTCACCTGGTGCGCGGCGCGGCCGCGGCGGCGGGCAGCGAGGAGGCGGCGTGGCCGGCGCGGAGGGCGGCGGGCGGCGGCTGAGGGGCGGCGGGCGGCGGGAGGGCGGCCAGCGCCGGCAGCAGCAGCAGCAGCAGCGGGAGGCGGGAACCGCGGCCCGGCGCCGCCATCATCCCCCCCCCCCCCCGCCCCGCCACGGTCGGGGGCGGGAAAGCGGCGGGGTCCCCCGGCGCGGCTCCCTCAGAAGAGGCCGGCGGTGAGGGGCCGGAGGCTGGCGCCGGTGAGGCGGTTCAGCTCCTCCAGGATCTCCACCTCCTTCTGGTACATCTGCGGGGGGAGGAGCCGCGGTCAGCCCAAGGGACGCCAGCCGCCAGGCCCGCGGAGCCCGGCGGGTCCCCCGCCGCGGGAGAGACCCTTCCCACTCGCGTCCGACCCGGCTAGGGGGGGTGGGCGCCGCAGGCGCCGTACCTGCTGCCACTCGGGTTTGGTGTCGTGGCGGTAGCCGAGCAAATGGCACAGCCCGTGGGCTGCCGTCACCTGTGCAAAGAGACGAGAACAAACCGCGCGTGTTTCCGCGCCGCCACGAACCGGGGCTAACCCGGTACCCGACCGTTCGCCGGGACCAGCCGGGAAAGCGGCAGCCGCCACCCCGTCCCTGCGGGACACTCCACGGCTGCCCTTCCCCCCGCCGCGCAAGGACGGGACGGGGACGGGACGCCGCTGCCCGCGGCGGGGCTCACCGCCAGGACGCTGTCGAAGTCCTCCCCGGCGTCGCGGCACTGCTGGTGGATGTACTCCACCCCCAGGAAGATGTCGCCTAGGTTGTACTCGTCGCGGCTGCGCGGCCGCGGCAGCTGCCCCGCCGCCACCCGGTGGAAGGGGAAGGAGAGGACGTCGGTGGGCTCCGGGCGCTGCCGGTACGCGCCGTTGAGGCGCCGCATCAGCCCGTTGCCGGCGCAGACCAGCCCCACGTCGAAGCGGGAAGCGCCCAGGGCGGCCCGCAGGACGCAGACAGCGCGGCGGAGCGGGGCCCGGCGCAGCGGCACGGCCCGCTGGGCGTTCCGCAGGGCCAGGCTCATGGCGGCGGCGAGCGGGGAGGGAGGGAAGAAGGGAGGGATGGCGGCGGGATCATCCCGCCCCCCCGCGCCCGCGCCTGCGCCTGCGCCGCCCGCTCCCGCCCGCCGAGGAGGGGCGGCGGCCGCCATGAACGCGGGGGGACCGTTCCGCGGGCCGCCCGCCTTCCCGCCGCCGCTGCGCTTCGGGCAGGCCGCCGTCTTCGGGCAGGGCGGCGGCGGCGGCGGCGGCGCCCCCTTCGCCCCCGGGGTCACCGCCGCTTTCGGGCCGCCCTACGGGCTGGGCCAGGCGCCGGCCTTCGCGGCGGCGGCGGCGGGCGGCGGCGGGGCGGCGGCGGCGGGCAACGCGGGATTCAGCTTCAAGCCACCCACCAACCTGGGCGGCTTCCCGGGGCCGGGCGAGGCGCCGGGCGGCGGGGCCTTCGCGGCGCCCGAGTTCCGCTTCAAGGCGCCCGAGGCCGCCGCCGCCTTCAAGCCGCTGGCGGGCGGCGAGGCCGAGAAGGGTCCGGCCGCCCCCGCCGCCTTCACTTTCTCGCCGCCCTTCGGCTTCGCGCCGGAGGCCAGCCCTGAGGCGGCGGCGGCGGCGGCGGCGGGGGGACCCTTCTCCTTCTCGCGTCCCGCCGCCGCCCTGGGCCGGCCGGAGGAGAAGGGCCCGCGACCGCTCTTCGAGGAGCCGGGAGAGCCGGCGCCCAAGGGCCTGAAGCGGAAGGAGGAGCGGGAGCGGTCGCCGCGGCGGGCGGCGGCGGCGGCGGGCGGGCGGGCGGCGGCGGCGGCGCCGCCGGAGAAGCGGGCGGTGCTGCTGAGCCGCCCCCGCGGCGGAGCGCTCTTCGGCCGCATGCTGCAGGAGGTGCTGCGCAGCCAGGGCCGCGGCCACCGCGACCGCGGGGAGCCCGCCGAGCCTGAGCGGGGACCCGCCGAGGAGCCGCCGCCGGCCGAGCCCCGGGAGCTCCCCAGGGAAGGTAAGGCTGGGTGGAGGCCGGGTGTCACCTCGCCGGGTGTCACCTCGCCGGGTGTCACCCCGCTTTCTGAGGTGGCTGCCCCCCCCCCCCCCCTTCTTTTCGCAGATGCCACCCCCGCGACCTCCGCCCGACGGGCTCGGGGCAGCGACAGCGCCGAGGGGCTGGGGGGCCTGCCGCCTGGCGAGCTGACGGCCATCCAGTGCAAGAACATCCCTGATTACCTCAACGACAGGACGGTGCTGGAGAAGCACTTCGGCCAGTTCGTGAAAGTCCGGCGGATCATGACCCGCCGCAACAAGAAGATGGCCGTTCTCCACTTTTTTGATCATGTGAGTGTCTGGAAGCGGTCGGCGCGGGGGGGCAGGCTTAAATCTGAGTGCTCGTGAGCTGCACCCACCGCAGGTGCTCAGGTTTAAGCCGGAGCTGCACCCCTGTGTGGTAAAGCGGTACGATTTTCGCCCTGGGGGAAAGCTTTGTGTCACAAGCGCTGTTACAGACGGGGAGGGAGATGTGCAGAGCCGCACCTAGAATGTGGCAGCTGCTGGAACTCTGTCTAGATTTAGCTGTCCTGTTAGCATCTAGCTCCAACACCAAACAGATCTTCCTGGTTGCTTGTCTCACATCACCCAGACCTGTCTTACATACACTGCTGCACACCAAGGCTCAGCACACCGAGGGTGAGGCGAGCTCGTGCCGTCCTTGCAGGGTGACCTGCTTGCTGGAAATACTGCCTTTACATCAGAGCTGAGGTGTGTTGAGGAGCCAGCTCAGCGACTGCATGCTCTGTTCCTGTTCTGTGCTTAAAAACACGTCTTTGGCTCAAGTGCTCACGCTCGTTGTAGAAAAAATTTTCTTAGAAAAGCAGCAGTTCTTGTGAAAACCAGTCCTGCCGGTTGCATGTAAGCCTTAAACAAGGGTTTAAGATGTAGTAACCAGAATTTTATGGAAATTAGTAAATGATTCCCTGGCAAAAACTACACTGCCCGCTTTGGTGGTGTGACATGATAGGTTTTCATATTCTGCTTTTGTCTTCTTTCAGGCCTCTGCAGCTCTTGCCAGAAAAAAAGCAAAAGAGTTGCACAAAGACATAGTAACGTTTTGGCAAAAGAAGAAAACAAGTAAGTCTGTGTTTCTAGTTACGATTACCGTGTGATACATAAATGGCATGTCATCTGCTCTGTTCTTGTTTCCTGATGTGCTGAGATCGATACGAAGATGATCTCCACAGTAGGGATGTTACTGTTCCAGAAGTACAGTGGTTTTCTTTGACTTTTGCTAGTCAGACTGTTCGATGAGTGGAGCTTATGGGAGCATTGAAGGTTATTCTTTATAGAAGCATAAAAATGGTTGTTCTATGTTTTGTGTGACATCCCAGCTAGTTCTGTCTGTGGCAAAGGCTAATAGTGAATATGCAGGGGAGGGAGCAGGATAAAGCAAGTAATTGCTTCCAGAATAATTTCTCAGCCTTTAACAGCCAATGACTCGGGAACCCTGGGTGCTGGAAGAGGCATCTTAGCCCTTGGAGAATTCTTCTCTTGTGAAGTAACCCAGTTGCTTTTGTAAGTGTGTAAACTTTCAGCATCCACAGTACTGTCCTCTGGTATTGAGGAAGTTTTAAGTGAGTGACTGCAAATCACAGGTGGAGATTGCACTGTTTCTTAAATTTGTGTTGTTGAAAACATTTTGCTTCATCTGAGCCAAAATGCTGTTTCAGGCATATAAAGAGCTGAAGACACGTCAAATGATGGTATAATTTTATGAGAGAATTAGGGACCTTTCATGCAGCCACACAAGAGGAATATGGTGATGTTAACTTTGTGCTCCTATCTAGAAGTAGGATGTTCTTTGGGGATGTAAGAAAACCCAGTTTCAAATGCCTTGTTGCCTGCTTCAGAACATGGTCTGGGATGTGGGTTTCCAGTGCCCAGGAAAGTTTCCTTAGTTACGGTGTACGCTAGAGTAAGTGTCTGTGTGGCTGAGGTTGCCATTCTGCGTATCAACAATTACACACTGCTTGAACCAAAAAGAGAACAACCTCCAGAGAACTGACCTTGGAATTCCAGATCCTGCTTGGGATCAGGACAGGAGGAGATGTGGAACTTGGCTGTTAACCCCCTAGGCTAGTAGTTGAATTGTCAAGTGCTTCCCTTCTTTAGCTTTATGAATGCTGTGTGTGTACCTCTGAGCACCTAGCCTGGGGATGTACTTCAGCTGTCAGCAAATGAATGGTTTGATGCAGCTTTGACCAACCTTTGACTTGCCTTCCAGAAAAGAAACAGGTGCAGAGTTGCCTTCCTGAGAATTAACATCTTGAAGCGGCAGCTGTCGGGGTGCCTGTTCACTTTTGTCATTTTATTATGGTGATAAGGCTATAGAAATGTGAATGACAGTATTCTAAAATAACTAATCTGAGATAATTTGAGAAATCCAACTGGTTGAAAATTTGTTCCTGGGAGAAGAAATTCTCCCTTCCTGCAAGGTGTAGATGTAGCTCTTGAGAAGGCAGGCCAACCTCAGTCTAAGCTTGAGATTGTGAAACAAATTATTAAGAAGCTTCAGAAGGAGCGCTGGGAATTGTGGCTTGCATATGTGAAATAAGTGTCATACCCTGTAGAGCGTTAGGACTTGTGGATTATATCCCAAACCTGAGAGATTTTAAATTCAGATGATCAGACTTCATTTACTGACAATCTGCTGACCAATTATAGTTATTGCTAAGTGACAAATATTTTTCAATAAAATATTCTTTATAGAACAGCGAGGCGGACCAGCAATTAGTAGGCTGACTCGGTACAGCTTATAGTGCAAGTCTTCCTGGAAGTTTTGCATGCATGTACAAAACTATGACTCTCAGTTTTGTCTTCTAATAGTATTTTTTTTAAAACAAACTGCTCACCAGAACCCCCCATGGAGAAAAAAGAGCTGTTGCTTAAACTACTTGGCAAGTACCTGGCTCCATGTTTATATGTCACATTAGGTCCAGCAAAAAGAGATTTTTCATCTGAGGAGAAGAAAGCAGGTGAAGATGAAGGAAGGCAAAGCAGTGAAGAGCAAAACTATCAGCATTCCTCTCTTCAAAAGCCTTTAATAAGATCCTCTGCCAGCAGTGTCATGCCTGGTAAAAGGTACGTCTGCTCCTCTGGGAATCCATCTGGCAAGAAATAGGATGTGTGGGGAAAAATGATGTGCGCTGAATAGTCATGTTCTTACCAGGGAGTACACTTCCCTTGTCGTTTCTAGTTTGTCCGAATTACAAACTCACAGATCTTGCATTTGGTCAGAAAGGTATGTCTGAGTACTTATTAAGGTCTTTTACTTTGGTCTGCGTGTTTGAAGATTTTGTTCATAACGGCAAATAACACCTGCAATAGTGAGGCATAAGGGAATTGAATGAAACAGTCCGAGAGCCAAACTAGGACCAACCAGCAAGGACATTGTTCTGTGGTGATTAAATGAGCTTTTGAAGTGAGTGGTTTCATCTGTAGGCAATTGCAGTTTTGTGGAATGAGAATCCCCTTTTCAGAGGAGCTGGGAAGTTTGGATCGTCCTCTCGTCTCACTTCAAGTGAATGGTCTTTGTAGAGGAATCCTGTTTCGTGTTGTTCGCTGAAGGGGCAAGGTTGTCCTCTTCCTGTGGTACCTTAATGGTGTGTCTAGTGTGACAAAAGTCATTTGGTATGCGCAGTCATATAGTTATAAAACTAGTAATACATTGTGAAGGAATAAATGTTCCTTGATTTTAAAAGTATGTTTGTATCTGGGGCCTTGTAAAATCTTTTAATCATCTCTGTTGCTATAGAAAGCGTTTGTTTTTTTCACACCAAAGAGCAGACTAGTTCCTGGCTTAAAATGCAAACTGCTGTGCCATAGTGATGCGAAAATGCAGCCATCTGGTTCTGTTCACTATAAACCAGATTCCGTAATACCATTTCTGTTGTACAAAGGTTGAGGCTTTCACCACCTTCGAGAATGCTTGGCTGTGTTGTCAAGGCAGTGCTGAGGATTTAACCAGATTAACTCCCAGTGCTGATGTTAGCTCGTAATAACC